GCTCCTATTGACAGCAAAGTGGTTCTTGTCCCACAGAGGTGACTTTACAGCTTTATTCCAGAAGCCCTTAGCCTTCATCTGCAGGCCATGGGCAGCTTTCAGGTTCTTCAGCTATTTCCCACACCAGCCAACAAGCATGCAGGTGTGTACTGCTTGTGGGAGACTCTACTGTGGTCCAGAGGGTGGTACAAAAAACTTTAAATCAGGCAGGGCATGACCTCAGTGGGTACGTTATAACCTTAGAGCACTTAAGTGGGCAAGGAAGTTCCCACATACCCTCTACAATTAGTAGGACTGGGTGTAGATAAGCCTGTCTGTGATAGTCGGAGGTTGGAATTAGGCTCACATACTTGGTTCCTATCATAGCTCATAGCTCCACGGGTACCCATGTGTAGCTGATGGGATTCTCATTAACTTGTCCTGTTTATATAAGTCTCCCTACTAAATGGCCACTCTTCCCCTGTGAATCCCTCTGCATGGATTCAGACAAACATCTCACTGGCGTAGCGCTGTAACTGCTTGCTGTTTTCATGGGACAGATGCTTCTTCCTCTGTCTAACCTCCTTCTGCTTGTGAGCATCCAGGTGTGCTCAGGTGCAGAGTTCAAACATCCCTTTGCCGCTGCTTCTGATGTGGTAAACCCTTACCTAAAGATTTGTGGTTTCTGGTATCTGAAAGGCTTTAAGTGGCCAAAGTGGAGTGAGTTCTTTGCCAATAGCACCACCTACAGCCAGCTACAAGGAGTAGTTTAAAGACAGCAGGAAGCCGGTTGGAAAATAACGGGGTGGTTCTTATTCATGACTGATCTTTCTCTATTCTACAGTGACACTGGGAAAAGAAGACAAGCAGAGGGCACCTTGCCCACCTTTCCATATTGGCATAGTACCCTGGTTGGTAAATGGCATTCATTTATCTTCCAGTATCCTCCCTTGTTCTCCTAATGTGCCCTCCTTGCTTATCCCTTCCCCTTGCAGCTCATGCCTGCTCATTTACCTGAGGCTGCAAAAGCTCTGGGGCACACTATGTCCCTTGTTCCATGGGTAAAAGGCCAGGCAGTGACACTGTGTAAGATGATGTTTAATAGCCACTTTTTGCTCCCATCTCAAATTCCTTCTGTAGAATATAGTGACACTTTCTTTCAAGATTCTGACTTTTCTTCTTCTTGCCACCTCCAGATTGTATCATTTGCCTTATAACTACAGGATAGGTTTACTGAGGGAGGTCTCCCTGGATGCCCACATGACTTATGCTATACCAGTTGAATCCTGCAGCTCCACACATTCTGAAATGTGACTAGATCAAAGTGTCATCCAAATGCTCCGTCATCTAGAGCTGGCGACTCTAGCTTCAAGAGGTCGGGGAGGGGGTCCTATTTTATTTATTACAGGAGTGCTGCTGGACAGGGAAAGGACAGAGCAAACATCTTGTTACTGGAATTGTGTGATAATTTTGTGAAGGGCAGCGCAGAGCTGAGGGGCTTTACCAGAGACATGTCTGGGGTACCTGGGAGTGGAAATCAGACAGGAGGAGGCACTCAGCTGTGTATACTGGCTGTGGTTGCTCAGTCCTTGCATGGCAGAGCCTAAAGCCAAGAGATGATACCTCCCCTGTGCCATCACTAGCCTGTCCTCTATGCCAGCCCACCCCGAGGGACTCTCAGCACTGGCAGTGCTGTCCTTACTGACTTCTTATTGGTGGTCCGGATGACACAGCAGCGCTGCTCCTTCTCCACGGAGACACTGTAAACTTCCTTGGGGTAGGGCAGGTTACGGATCCGCCACTGGAAGCTGGTCAGGGTATCCTTCCTCATGAAGACAGGCTGCAGCAAACAAGTACCTTTAGCAAGTCCCCTCCAGTTGTGTCTTCTCTTTTCCCTAGCCCTTCTTCCTGTACTATCTTGAGAGGTTTCACATGAGGCAGCCCTTCCTTCACACTCGAGCAGAGCAGGGAATAACTCAAACTGCCTGAGCATCAGTCTCCTAAAGCTGGCACTGCTATGGCACAGCCTTTACCCAGGGCACTCACTGCCTGCCCTGCCTGTAGGAGGCTGGGAATGTTCAACGAGGGGCTCTTGAACGACAGTGTTATGTGGAAACCGGGCCTCTTCCCCTACCCTAGGGACCTGCTGCACTTGGTCCTGGCTGTGTCCCAGTTTGCTGTGCAGGGCTGTGCTTGTGTTTCAGATTAGAGACTAACAGCCTTGCAAGCTGTTGGGATGAGAAGCTGATACAGGCAGTGCTATGCACTGCAGGTGTCATGTTCTCATTGTCACTGCCTCTGCTTTCCATCCACTGACTTGTCCAGGCACTGGCCTTCCTTTGAGGCTATTTTTTGGAAGCCAAAACAGGAGCTAGCCAACACAGCAACGTAGACAGTTTCTCTACTTAAGGAAACTCCAAAGCTCTTGAAGACTGCAAACAAACTAAACTGTGCCCTTTCTGCTCAGCCCCACACCTATGGGATGAGCACTAGGCCAGCTAAGGCTGCCTCTTGGGGCTATGAGTGATCTGCAGTCTACGAACTACTACTGTAAGCACGAGGCTAGGTTTCTAGGCGGAGCGGTGCCTGCAGACCCTTTACATACATTGGAGCTGCTTTCCTTTATGAGCTCTGATTCCAGTGTTCCCACGAGAGGTGAGGTTGGCTCTCCCACCTCAACCTGCCACTTGCCGGAGCCCCCTAAAGCATTCTTCTCTCGCCATTTTCTACCTGTGGAAAGGAGAAGGAGGGTTTTCATTATTCTGTTCCATAAAAAGTACTCCAGAAAATAGCCAACAAAATTGCCCAGCCCATTGAGATGATATGCCTTTTCCCTTAATTCCAGTCATTTCCACTTAGGTGTAAGTCGATCAGTTAGCTGGCCAGCTCCTAAAGTCAGAAAATCAGCACTGAGTCTCTCTCTTTTGTTAGTCGGTGCTGAACCCACAGAGGGCTTGCAGCAGGTGCCACACTGCAGTTGATGTGGTTTTGGGTAAGACCCAAACTGACATCTTGCCTGCTTGCGGTTGCAGAAGTTGTCAAAAAGCATACTTCACCCCAGCGCGTGCTACAGACCGAGAGGGCAATCCCTTTCGGTCCCTTCAAGCCTGTTGTGACAGAGTGGATGTTTAGGAGAGATCCTGGGTTAAAATAAGGTCTGCTATGCCCTGGAAGGGAGAGACCTCTGGGTCCAAGCTGGACCTTATTTACATCCCTACAAATTTCAGGGGCGCTAAAGGCAGAATTGTCTTCTGGGCCATTTGGGAGCAACTTTTTTCTAACCAGGAGGTCCCTCGGGAGATTACCCCAGGCTGGCGAGCGCAGACCTGCTGCCGCACGCACGCACTGGTGCCACTCGCCTCGCTCTGCTACGCCTGGGGCAGCTGGGGGCCAGCCGAGCGCGTCACTTACTCACTAACTGACCCGTCTGCACGTCGTACTCTTCAGCCATCTCTTTGCCATCCTCAAACAGGTAGTGGACCTTCTTCTTCCCTAGAGGCAAAGTGGGCGGTGAGGGTGGGAGGCAGACGGAGCCCCTTCTCGGAGGCCCTGTCCCTGGGTTTACGACCCTGTCCCCAGATGTATGACCCTGCCCCCCCCTCCAGTCTGGGGCCCTGTCCCCTGTTCAGGGGCCCTGTGCCCCCCTGCCCCAGTCTGGGGCCCTGTCCCCTGTTCAGGGGCCCTGTCCTGCCCCCCACCCCCAGTCTGGGGCCCTGTCCC